CCCTTAGAAAAGGAGAAGTTAACGTTTTCCAAAATTCAACGTTAAGAGTTAGTTTATGTTTCAATCTCATGCTAGGTGGCTTGAATCCTAATGTTATCGCAGAAAATTTTGCACATTAAGAGTTAATTTTTGTTTTCTTTCTTTCTTTCTTTTTCCCAATGAGTTCTTGTTTGAAACAATTTTAAAATTTAAATTTAAATAAGTGTTCAACTCTATATTTTGGATTTTTTTATTAAAAAATAAACTTTAATTATATATCTTTTGAAAAAAAAATAAAATTAACTTTCTGTAACGTAATTTCTAAAAGACATCAACAGTTAAGATGCCTATTGTGAAGAGTTTATGTTTCAAAAACTCTGTCATGTTATATGATCTCAGGGAAAAAAAAAAAAAAAACTCTTTCATGTTATGTTTTTCTCTGCAAAAACTTTTTCTCCAACATTGTAAGTGCACTATACTTCTTAAATAAATTTAATATTAATTATTCTCACCTCTGAAAACTTTTTATGTCTCTCAGTGTTTCTTTTTATAATTTTAATTGTGAGTTTCTAACAAATTAATATTTGACACTGTAGATGGCAACTCAAAAAAATGGTAAGAAAGTACAGATGACTCCAAAAGAAGTACTGTTCGAAAAAAGACCACTACTTTGGGACAATCCTACAGCATGTAGCTCTACTTCACCACCCTTTTATATATGGGAAAGGATATTGTCTGAGTTGAATCATAAAATTGATATTGGTTTCAAAGTTCTTTTACAAGAAATACAAAGGTTGACTGAGTTAGTAGAAGCAATCGAGACATCGCACAATAGTGTCATCCACATAAGTTCTGATGATAGTGAAGAGGAGGATCCATCAGAGGAATATTATCCATGTTCTTAAACAAAATGGAATGATCAAGACTTTTTTTAATGTAATCTATATTATGTTTTATTAAATGTAATGTAAAATAAATGTTAATTGATTAATTGTGTTTGGTGGATAATATAATATATTAGAAGTTATTTTAACATAATGTTTTTTTGAAGAGTTATCTCAAAGAGTTGTCATGACTGTATAAATAGTTCTTTCTAAATTGATAAATTGAAATAACTATTCGGTGAGAATTCATTTTTGTTCTCTTTCAAGATAAACTATCTTCTTAACATAATAAAATGTGTGTATGAATCCATCTCTCTCTCATCATCTTTGTGAAGAAAAAAAATTCTCTTTGGAAAGACTTGTATGCAAATTGAAATACATGGTTAGAACTCTTATAATTACTTCATTTTTTACAATTACTTCAGTTATTGAATCATAAAAATTTGTACTGATCCTGTCAATTTGATTAAATCACAAAATTATATGCTTCCAAACAAAGATACTTGCAAACAAAGATAAAGGACATATTGCAAATTATTTCCAAACAAGTGTCAAAACAATTAACCCTTTTTTTTATAATAGAAAAATTAAGAGTTTTAAAAGAAATAAAGTGTTCATTTACTGGGATATTGTATACATATATTCTCCACCAACTGACACGGTAAATAGATATATTTTCGAATAATTTCTCACTAAAACCTTCCATTCTCAAACAACACGTGGCATGCCCTCTTGGCAAATTTATTTCTTCTGGTTGAATATATACGAATATATACTGCAAGAGTCTGCGTTTGCTTAGCCAATCAAATCTCAAGAAACAAATCATCTAACCAATAAAAATCCGACGCGTGGAAATTCAACGTAGCTTTGAGCGCTCTTATAGCAGCACAAGTCGTCTCACTCCATTTGACAGTTGAGAATTGTCCCGTCGTTTCATTCTTCACAAATACTCTTTTCAGATCTCAAATTCTCTCATCTCTCTCCGTCTTAAATATCCGACTGAAAACCCACGCAGCTCGCCGGAACTGGTGTTTCCGGTGATCTCCAGCACTCTGATGGAGTCTCACAGCGCCGGACTCCGCTGTGTTCTGGTGCTCGCCTTCTGCATCACCGGCATTTGGTCAGCTTATATATACCAAGCAGTTCTTCAAGAGACCGTGTAATTTTTCTTTTCCATTAGTTTCAATTGTTCAAACCGACACGTCTTCTTCTTGTTTACATGGCAGTTTTTTTTTTATTCTTTATTTTTTATTCCCTTCTTCTTTGAAAAAAAAAATAAAAAAATTCCTTTTTTTTCATTGTTTCAAAACAATTTCAATCAAACCGACACGTCTTCTTCTTTCATGTCTACTCGGTTGTTGGTGTCTGAAGAATCTTATATATAATCGGCTGATTAGATCTTGCCTCTCTCATTCTACCTTTTTGGCTTCTTCTTCTACCCCTCTTGCTTCTTCTACCCATCTCTTCTTTCAACATTTATTATCTAACTCTACTTCAAAAATCAGTATTTAGTTGAAGCGCATAACTCAAGGCCTATTTTGGCTTAAGGTATGTTTTGTGTTATTTATATTTTTGTTTTTGAGGATACAATGTTTGAATTTTTTTTTTTTTTTTTTTTTCCTGAATGTTTGAATTTTTTTTTCCTATTATGTTTCTTAATTATGTGAAGTTTGTTGACCATAATTCAGAATTATTCATGATGTTCTCGTTCTTTTGGTTCATGTACATCAGATTACAACTCAAAACTCTTAATTTTTTTTTTTTTTTAAAGGTATGTTTATATTTGAATTAAAGAACAATTCTGATTTGGATGCCTAAAGAATTAGGGCATGATTTTCTTTGTTGTTTTTCTGTTTCAGAAATATAAATTATTACTTTATCTATACGTAATGGTTAGAGAATTTCATCGATTGCTTTCACTACCATCACATTTTAACGATGCGCATTGCACTTGCCAACACCACATTGCTGTTCCAAACTCATCACATTAAATCTTGAACCTACCTTCTTCACTGATTGTTTATCCTCTCTGCTTTATTCATCAGCTGCATGAGCTGTTGATTTGTTCTCGGTGCCCTGACCTCGGACGGAGTTCGATATGAAACTTCACTTGTTTATCTCAAATCCGATGACTGGTCGGAGTCGTGCTTGGATCCTCTCCTTTAGTTTTTCTCACCAAGTATCTCCCGAGTCAATCCACAGTCCATCACATATATATATATATATATATATTTTTTTTCAGCATTGTACGTAAGCCCAATGGATAACAGTAGGATTTTACCGAATTCTGATAATTTTTATTTAAGTTTGTAAAGACCGTTTAACACATATAATGATCTATTTATATTTTTTTGTCACTGTCCTTAACTTAGTAATTATATATATATATTTTTCCTAATTTAATAAAATAGATTTAAGTATGAAATGAATAAAATTTATACCATAAGTAACATGTAAGAAGGGAAGAAGGGAAAATGAAAATAAAAAAAATAATATAAGTCAAAAGGACAAGAGACTGACTAAAAAAAATAATAGGTCTAGGTACTCATACCTACTATATGTGCGTTTTGCATGTCGCCTACTATTCATGTCGTCTCCTTAATTTATGTGTAAATTTAAGAAAATTTTGATAATTTATTGACTTTATGCATGTATGATATTTTTAGGATAGGTATGAGCCAGTTATGACAACATATAAATTGGTGACTGTAGATGTTCAATACTAAATCATTTAATTTATTTTAATAAATAAATGTGACTTTTCAAATACCTACTTACACCTCTTCTAGAAGTCACCTTTTAACTGCAAACACCTATATCTAAAATCACCTATTCTAAAAAAACACCTTTTAACTGCACTAAAACCTCTTCAAAAACACCTTTTAAAAAACACATTTTAACCGCACTAACACCTCTTCAAAAAATTACCTTTTAACTATAAACACTTATGTATTCTATTTGTATTTTTTTATATACACCTTTTTATAATAATATAATATTATATACTTCTCAAATAACTACTAACACCTCTTCTAAAAGTAGTCTTTTATTATTTATATATAAAATTAAATCATTTAATTACTGATTTTTCAATCTCATGCTAGGTGGCTTGAATCCTAATGTTATCGCAGAAAATTTTGCACATTAGTTATTGTGATCAACTGCTTACCATTTGTAATTTTAACAGAATTTTGATCAGATGTATGGAACTGTTTGCAAAGCTTGACTTAATTTATGTGTAAATTTAAGAAAATTTTGATAATTTATTTCTTTTTTTTTTTTAAAAAAAGTAGTAACCTTATTATGTTTATATCAATGACGTATGCAGGTCAAAGAAAATACATTACTAATTTCAAATAAAGGGGATAAAATTTACAAGTGAGTGGAAAATTTATACTTTTCAATTTAATTTTTTTTTAGCTAGCTTTTTTTCTTTTTCTTTTTTGGTGCATTTAATATTAAAGCATTTATTAGGGTCTTGAATAGTTTATTTTTCCTTACCGGTAAAGCTACTTTCTTATTTAATTTCAACGAATATATAGAATGCATAAAAGCTTGTAATTATATATATATATATATATATATCATCTTTGTATGGTTGACTATTCAATTAAACACATAGATTTTATATTAAGACACCTTCTTAATTTACTTTATATTTTCTACTATTAGATGTAACAATATCATCTTTGCAAGGTGGATTAGACATATATATTTAATATGGAAGCACTATTTTTATTTACTTTTTATTTTCTATTATTAGGAGGAACAATTCAATTAGACACGATAATAGACGCGATAGATCTTTGTATGCTGGACCGTTCAACTAAACACATCGATTTTATATATGAAAACACTAGCTTAATTTACTTTTTTTCCCTATTTTTAATTAGATGTAATAAGATCATCTTTGTAAGGTGAACTATTCAATTAGACAAATATATTTCATATGGAAACACCATCTCTATTTACTTTATATTTTCTATTATTAGGTGAAACAATTCGATGAGACACGATAATAGACGTGCTAGATTGAATGCATATTACAGAAATAGATATGCAAGTTTGTCACCTGACCAAAGAGACAACCATATTCAAAACGTAAGAAATTCAATAAAGAAAAGAAAACGAGAGGAGATGGAAAAACCATATAATGACACAATGTCCCATGAGTTGAAGAAGGTCCCACAATGTGAATTTTGTTATGCAAAAAAATTTGAATACGAACCTCCAAGTTTCTGTTGCTCAAATGGTGAAGTAGTCCTAATGTCTACGAATGTGCCTAATGATTTATATGAATTGTTCACAAGCCAAAGTGCATTATCTGTAGACTTTTGCCGTCACTTGCGTGCCTATAATAGTATATTCTCCTTTACATCATTTGGAGTCCGTCTTGATAAAAATTTATCAAATATGAAGACCGGGATCTATACTTTTCGTGCACAAGGTCAAGTATACCATGAATTACCATCACTTACACTTGGAGATAATGTACCGTGTTACCTCCAATTATACTTCTATGACACTGATAATGAATTGCAAAATAGAATGAGAATTCTTAAAGATGCAAATTTGGAAGAGCCGATTGTCGTAAAGTTAATGGAGATATTATCTGCAAATCCATACGAACAGTTTTTCCGAAGGCTAAAAGATATTCCTGTCCAAGAGAGTTATGAGATCATTATAAAAAATGATGTTCGCCTAGACCAAAGAGTTTACAATTCACCTTCATCGGACCAAGTTGCAGCTGTGTGGATAGAAGGAACAAATTCAAATACACGTTCAGAACGAGATATAATTGTTACTGCGCACTCAGGAAGAAGACATAGAGTAAGGCACTACTTTGGATGTTATGATCCATTACAATACCCTTTATTATTTCCATTTGGTGAAATTGGATGGCATCGTAATATCAAAACACGACATCAACCAAGTATCGTTCAACATGTTACATGTGAAGAAGATATTTTTGAACATGATATTGCAACAAGAGTTGAACAAGGTAAATCTTAATGCAATATATTATTTAAATAAACAAAATTGATTCACATATATATTGAAGTGATAATTCAAGAACTTTAATAAATTATTTTACGATGATGCAGCAAGAAGAACAAAAAAGGTTTCATGCAGACAATATTATTGCTACAAACTCCAAATACGTGAAAAAGAACGATCAATTCTATTATATGCTGGAAGACTTTTGCAACAATATGTGGTTGATATGTACATTAAGCTTGAATCGACTCGTTTAGATTACTACCGGACACAACAATCACATATTCGATCTGAATTATACCAAGGAATTGTTGATAGCATTGTAGCAGGAGAATCTAGAGGAGATAAAGTTCGAAAAAGGGTTGTTCTTCCCGCTTCTTTCATAGGAGGACCTAGGGATATGCGTAGACGATACTTTGATGCCATGTGTTTGGTTCAGAGATTCGGAAAACCAGACCTTTTTATTACAATGACTTGTAATCCTGATTGGAAAGAAATTCGCGACGAACTGAAATTTGGACAGTTACCACAAGATAGACCAGATTTAACAGCTAGAGTGTTCAGAGCAAAGCTATATGATGTGAAACAACAATTATTTAAAAGATCGATATTTGGAAAAGTGGCAGCGCATGTTCATGTGATTGAGTTTCAAAAAAGAGGTTTGCCACACGCACACATATTGCTCATATTTCAATCTGAATTCAAAATTACAAATGCAGAACAATATGACAAATTGGTCTGTGCAGAAATTCCTTCTGAGAATGAAAACCCATCACTTTATCGGAAAGTAGTGAAACATATGATTCATGGTCCTTGCGGAGATCTCAACAAAAAGAATGCATGTATGAAGGATGGGAAATGTAAAAATCTTTATCCACGTAAATTTGTTGAACATACGATTCAAGGTAAAGATTCATACCCTATATACAGAAGAAGAAAAGACAGCCAAATAGTCTTTGTGCGTAATGCAATGTTAGATAACAGATGGGTTGTTCCTTATAATCCATATCTTTTAGAGAGATATGACTGCCATATAAATGTCGAGATATGCTCAGGAATAACAGCAGTAAAGTATCTCTATAAATATATATACAAGGGACATGATCGTGTTGCGATTCACATCTCAAATGTTGATGGAGGGAATTTCGTAGATGAAATAAAAGAATATCAGGATGCACGATGGGTATCACCACAAGAAGCAATGTGGAGACTTTATGAGTTTAACTTAAATGAGATGTATCCTTCGGTTACCAACCTCCAATTACACCTTCCAAATAAACACACAGTTTGGTATTGGGAGAACAAAAACCTAGAATATATCATTCGTTCTGAAGATATATCACGCACAATGTTGACAGAATTCTTTCATTTAAACTCCATATCTGAAATAAGTAGAGACTATTTGTATAGGGAGATTCCGGAGCATTATGTTTGGAACAAGCAAAATAAATGTTGGAGTCCCAGACACCACAAGGCGGTAATAGGACGAGTTAATGCCGCCAACCCTTCCGAAGGAGAAAGGTATTACTTAAGATTATTGTTAAACCATGTGCGTGGACCAACATCATATAAAGATTTATTATATGTTAATGGTCTCCAATGTGTAACATTTAAAGAGTCAGCAGAAAGAAGAGGTCTACTTGAAAGCGATAATAGCATTGTTGAGTGCCTCAACGATGCTGTGTGCTTCCAAATGCCAATGGCTCTTCGAAGGCTTTTTGCAACTTTAATAGTTTTCTGTGACCCAAGTAATGTTAGAAAACTTTGGGATGACTATTTTGAAGCTATGTCAGAAGATTTTTTACCCGACCCCAATTCTTCCCCTGACTACCAACTCATGGAAACACTTAAGAGCATAGAAAACTATTTAATGAGCATGGGCCGGAATATAAATGATTACGATTTGCCAAATATTGATTATGCGAATGATTCCAACAGTTATGATTCCTCTAGAGAGATCACCAACGAAATGGCTATTGTTACTCCGTCTGATGATTACAATGCAATAGTAAATCTTAACAATGAGCAAGAAAATGCATATAAAACTATACTTGAATGCATAATCTCAAATCAACCAAACATCTTCTTCATTGATGGGCCAGGGGGTACAGGAAAAACGTATTTGTATCGTGCATTACTTGCGAAGGTTAGATCTGAACATGGAATTGCACTTGCAACTGCAACTTCTGGAGTGGCTTCTTCATTATTACCAGGTGGTAGGACTTCACATTCAAGATTTAAGATTCCTATCATAGCTGACGAGTCAACTACTTGTAATATTTCAAAGCAAAGTTCAACTGCAGAACTCTTACGAAAAGCCAAACTAATTATTTGGGATGAAGCACCAATGGCTAAACGTTATGCAATAGAAGCAGTTGATAGAACTCTACAAGATTTACTTGGCAATAATTTATCTTTTGGAGGAAAAGTTGTGGTTTTTGGCGGAGATTTCAGACAAGTGTTACCCGTACTACCACGAGCGACTAGAGCTGAAATTATTGAAGCAAGTCTGGTAAAGTCTAAATTATGGAAAAAAAAAAATGAAGAAAATACGATTGGAAAAGAACATGAGAGCAAGAAATGATCAATCATTTACAGAATTTTTACTACGAGTAGGCAACGGAGAGGAGCTGACTTTATTAGACAACATGATTCAACTACCGAAAGAGATAGTTATAAACTCTATAATTGAAGAAAACTCTGAAAATGCATTGATAGATGCTATATTTCCGTCCCTTCAAGAAAATTCTCACTTAGCGGAATACATAACTAATCGAGCAATTTTAGCAACAAGAAATGATTTTGTTGATAAAATAAACGGTCAGCTCATTGAACGTTTTCCGGGAGAATCTTCAACATACTATAGCTTTGATAAAGCAAATGATGATGCTGGTACCTACTACCAAGAAGAATTTCTGAATTCTTTACTCCCAAACGGCCTTCCACCTCATAGACTAACGTTGAAAATTAATTGTCCTATACTTTTACTAAGAAATTTAGATCCTGCAAATGGATTATGTAACAGGACTAGGCTTATATGTCGTGGCACAAAAGATAACATAATCGCTGCTGAAATTTGCCATGGACAACATGTAGGAAAACAAGTACTGATTCCAAGGATACCTTTTTCCCCGGCAGAGAGTGAGGGATTGCCTTTTTGTTTTACTAGAAAACAGTTTCCAATACGATTAAGTTTTGCAATGACAATAAATAAGGCACAAGGGCAAACAATTCCTCATGTAGGAATATATCTTCCAGAGCATGTATTCTCACATGGACAACTATATGTGGCGTTATCTAGAGGAACATCAATGTCGACAACTAAAGTCTATGTTAAAAAAGACCAAAGAATTGAAGGCAATGCTAAATATACAAAAAATGTTGTCTATAAAGAGGTTTTGTTGCCAAGCATGTAAGAAAGTTTTCATATATATATATTGCAATCTTCCACTTACATTATTATTATTTTTATTTACAATTTTCCACTTACATTAAACGTATTATTGTTTTTATCTTGTGTTACAGAAACAATCTTCAACATGAGGAACCAATGTACTTTTAACACTATAAATTCGCTAGATGTTTTGCAAAGGAATTGGACAATAAAGGTGATTGTACTTCGTAGAGGAAATGTTGAAAACTACCATAATGACAAAGGATCAGGCCAAATATTGAAAGTAATTCTAATGGATGAAGAAGTAAGTTTATTAGCCATTACTTTTAGTATTCTATATTTATATTTTTTGATATTGATATATGATATATGATATATATATATATATATATAAATGTCAATATTATTTGATCATCTTTTACAATTTAGGGAACACAAATTCAAGCTGCATTGTTCAATGATGTGGTCACCATATTCAAGGAATCCCTAGCTCTTCATAAAACTTATATAATTTCTAATGGAATTGTGAGTCGAGTGAACCACAAATATAGAAATGTTCACAAGGAATTCGAATTAAAGTTTACAACCGAAACATCAATTGAAATCATTGAGAAAGAAAAAATAAGTTTGAACAAAATAAATTACAATTTTGTTGATTTCGAAGAGATAAACAAACACATTGACAGCAAAGAGACAATTGGTTAGTTCCCTTCAAATCTTTGTTTATATATATATTTTTTAACATTGAACTCAATTGTGAATCACAATATATCTCAATTGAATATATGAAACTAACTTGTTAAGCTTGCAGATGCTTTCGGAATCGTTGTTCAAGCAAATTCCATGTTGATCAAATCTAAGAAGAAAAGTGATTGAATATCTAAAATGTGTAACATCACTATAATAGATACAAAGTGAGTAAAACTATTTTTCACAAATTCCTATTTTTAGAATAAATACTTGAAGTAATTATTAAACTATATAACAGGTCAAGAATGACGACGTTGACATTATGGGCAGATCTTGCAGAAAATGAAGGACAAAAAATAATTAAAATGGTAAACAAGAGACCAATAATCACTTTAACAAATGTGGTAGTTAACATTTGCAAAGGTACACTACATATAAATAGACATCAATGTTCTCATTTTTCTTTCCTTTTTTTTGAATCAATGTTCTCATTTTACAATCTATCTTTCCTTATGATGCTACAAATATATAATTAAATAATTGTACTTTTAAGGTGTCGCTCTTCAAACACATCCAGGATCCACATTGCAGATCAATATGGACATCGACGAAGTAAACACATTAAGAAAATGGTTTGTTTTCTTCTGCTAAAAATAGTTACTTTGATCCATAAATTTAAATACTTTAAAGTATTCAATATATATAGTAATCATTACATACATACAAATTAAGTTATCACACGTACATACTACAAATGCAGGTTTGATAAAACTATATCCGGCAATGATATAGGTGCTCTCATTATGAATTCAAAATCTAAAGCTTTTGATGGAGCCGAAAAAATTTATCTCAACAAGATTATTGGAAAATCAAAAACTGCATTTATGGTATGAATCTGTATACATTTGTTTTTTAGTATAGACTTTCCATAATTATTTAATTTATTATATTAGTTTTCTTATTAAATGTTTTTTTTTTTTTTAAAAATTATTCATACAAAAATAAAATTTACTTATCATTGTTTAGAAAACAAATTATTATTTCGAAGCAACAATTCAAGAAATTGAAAATGAAAAGAAACCATGGTACGACGCTTGTATGGAATGCAACAAGAAAGTCAAACTACTGAACAGTGGTATTGTTTGTACCAATTGCAACATAAAGAATGTAAAATGCGTTCAAAGGTATTCAATTGTTATTATGATTATTAGTTTTAAAATTACCTTAGTTTTAAAAACTTTATAAACGTAAATAACTTATTATTGTAATTGGTCATTATGCAGATTTGTGATGCGACTAAAAGTGACAGATACAAATGCAGAAGCAAAGATAACAGTTTTTGATGATTGTCAGTCACTAATAAATTGTTGTTTGGAAGATCTTCTACGACTAAAAAATGAGGTGACAATTTGGAATCATTAATAATATTTTAATATAAGAAAAAAAAATTGTGCATTACATTATATAATAAATTATATATATATATATATATATATATATATATATATATATATAATTTATAAAAGAAAAATAAGGTTAGTTTTTTTTTTTTTTTTTTCTTATAAATATTTGAAGGAAGAAGAAACAAATGAGTTCAGTGACATTGTTAAAAGATGTGAAGGGAAGTCATTTATGTTTCTGGTGAAAATAGACAACAACAATGATGAATTAATCAGAGGCCTCTTCGTCGCACAAGCAGTTAAAAAAGTTGGCCGAGACAATGATACAACAGAAGAACTTGGCACAGAACTTAGCATTGACAATGATACAACAGAAGAACTTAGCACTGACAATCATCCAATAGCAGAACTTCGATCTCCCAAAAGGATAAAACGCTCTTTCCAAAGGAAAAATATAAAAATTCAGAATATTGATTCATAGTGTGTTAACTCTCATTGTTTATAATAATTAGTAATATTGCACCACATTGCGAATACTATTTGACCACAGTTCACTCTAGTATACAATATAGTTATTTTTACACTCGCCATGTTATAAATTTCTGAATTCATTTTTCTCAATTCTTGGTAATACATTAAGAATTGATCGAAATAAATTTTCATTGATATAATTAATTGATTAATTGTGTTTGGTAGAGATAAAATATATAAAAAGTTATTTTAACATAATGTATTTAATAATTAGATAGAAAGATGATTAAAACCCTCATATAAATCATATTAATATTTTAATTTGAATTAACATCTATTCCGTAAATCTAAATTAATTTTTTGATTTAAAAAAAAAAAAAAAAAGTCAATTTTATTTTATTTTGAGATAAAATAATATATAAAATACCAATTATTTATCTAATATAAATTTTTCTTTACGTGCATTGCACGTGTTAATTTTCTAGTATATATATGTATATTGTTGTTTTGATTTTTACAGGAAAAATTAGGCAAAATAGGAGGGAGAAAGTTGGAGGGATTGGTTCAGTCAGACTCTCTTTCTATATATATACACACACACACACACGCACATAAACCTTTCTTCTCCCCTCCCAAAATCGGTAACTCTCTATGTATGTATGTATGTATGTATGTATATATAGAATCTGACTAAATTTCCTTATGAACTACCTGCTCTTGCAATTCTTTCTCCGATTGTCCAAAGAACCTCCAGAACCCTCACCTCAGGTCCATCGCAGGTCCCATCGATCCCAATCTCCATAACCGAAACCCTAATCCCCACTCTGTTTATGATTTATAATTCCATAATTTCCATCTTGTTTCCAAAATCACCCAACACCATAATCGATTGAAGGCAAAAATAATATTAATAATAAAATAAAAATAAAAATAAAAATCAATCACCCATCCCTATATACTCCTATATATGTGTGTGTATATATATATATATATTACAGAGAATGACACTAATGATCTCATGTAATCCAAAATAAATTCCAATTTACCAATCCAAGACCTTTGCTAGTGTCTTCATCGCCAACAACCTCGGCATCCTAGTCTCCGTTGCCTTTTTGGGATTTTTTCCGTTACACAGTTATGGCTTGATGAGGAAGAGGGGTTCGTTTGGTTTCTTTAGTCAAGTGATATGTTTGATTGTGTTGTCAAATATTTTATTCGGGGTTCAGATTTCAGTTGCCTCATCATTTAGTTATATCACATGCTAATATAGAAATTACCTTGTATTAGAAAGGGATTTTTGGTCTTTTGAATCCGTTTGCTTTAAAACTCCCAAAACTATGTGGTTTTAGTAAGGGCGTATTTATCTTTTGATTTTTCCAATCAATCCTCCAGCCGGATTGTCCTTAACTATAACAAATTAATAATTTAAGAGAATTTTTTTTGTAGTTCAAGAGAATTTGTTGCAATAGGCCAATAGTTTAAAGGAGTTTTTTTACATTTAACCCTTATTTTTACTATCCCTTATATTGTAAATAAATTTAAGTTATGATCCCCCCCCCCCCCCCAAACAAAAAAACGAAAACATTTAGGGCACCAAAAAATAGAGAGTAAAAATAAATTTAACTTGTGCCCCCAAAAAAATCAACTCGGAATCTTTAAGCCTTACTTTTGAAACCCAAATCATGTTAAAAAGAAATTGTAAGTTCATTATTATTACAATCTTTTCCCAATAAATTGTTACTTCATTTGCATATAGACATGTATAATATTCATTATATGAACCCATGAGAAAAAAAGGAAGAAATTTATACTAATGTCCTCCAAATCTAATAAAATTTTCTACTCAGACATTCTCTCTTGATTGTGTTGACAAGAAAATTCTTTAGAATTATATATTAATCTCCATCAACAAGTATTGGGAGCATGGAAAGAGAGAAAAACTAAGGGAGTGAGAGAGCACGATGCCAAGAATGCCAACAACAATAATGATATTATAGACATGTATAATATTCATTATATGAATCCATGAGAGAAAAAGAAGAAATTTATACTAATGTCCTTCATATCTAATAAAATTTTCTTTACAGACATTCTCTAATGATAGCATTAACAAGAAAATTCTTCAGAATTATATATTAATCTCCATCAACAAGTCTTGGAGGCATGGAAAGAGAGAAAACTAAGGTAGTGTGAGAGCACGATGCCAAGAATGCCAACAACAATAATGATATTATATATGGTAATATTTTTAATTGTAAGTGAAAATTTCTATAACTACTCACTGTATAAATTACTAAAGTATTTTTTTATTTTGATCTTGATAATCGATAATCGTGTTTCATTAAACCTTGTGAGATTTGTTTAGTTAGAATTATTATTTTAAAAATATTTCATGAAGATAAAAATGGTATATCTTTGCCAAAGAGGAATCAAAATATCCAAAACAAAAAAATTCAAAAATTTAACATTTTAAAAAAATTGAAACGATTGCTATAGAAAAATTGATTTTGTTTCTCATATAAGTTTTCTATCTATTTATTTAGGCAATTGAAAAAAATGTAATTTTATAATACTAGGTCGGCCCCCCAAAATCAAAATTCCTGGCTCCGCTCCTGTCCCCATGACTTCTGTAGAAATACTTAAGTTAGCAGTGGCATGTTTGGCAACCATTTTTGTTGCCAATTCGATGAAAAGTATAAGAAGAAAAAAAAAATGACAAAAACATGTTGGGTAACATATTTTACGTTTTGCACAGTGTTGCATCTACTCGAGAAATACGTTTTGCACAGTGTTACATCTTCCTAAGAAAATGGCTCAAATCCAGAAGTAAGAAAAAATAAATTCACTTGTTTTAGTTACTATAGCTAAACAATTGTAAAGAGATTCTTTTAAAAAATCTAAAGGGTAAAGTACAATGACACCCCCTAAGGTTTGGCATAAGAACAACCCATATACATGTTGGCCTATTTTTGGACAATAATACCACCTTATGAGATTTGAAATCCAAATAAAGCCTAAAAACATGTGAAAATTTTATTTTACCCTTCATTATTTGATTAATTTTAATTGTAAAATTTCAAAACAATTAAGGGGTAAAATCACCAAAAAAAAAAAAAAAAAAAAAAAAAAAAAAAACAAACAAACAAACAAAAAAACCCTCTCCTATCAAATTGTTGCAAAAACCTCCCACTAAAATTAAATTGTCCCCTGAACTAAAAATTGTTATCATGTTACCCCCATTTTTGTATGAAATGACAAAATTATCCTTATGATTTAATGTTAAATTAAAAACTAATAATCATTATTGTAAAATTAAAAAAATACTCCTGAGTTTTCTTCTTTAATCAAATGGAGCTCTGTTTGGGGTCCTTATCCTCCACTGCTTGATGTCGGCGGCGGCCACCAAAACCCAATCCAAAATCTTAGTTCAAAAGCCAAAATCAATCAACAACCAGCACGTGGCCACCACACATGGATTCTCATTTTTGCCTCTCTTTTCATGTTATTCACTCTCACTCTCATCACCACAAGGGATGTTGTCCCCTCCGCTGCTACCGCTACCACCTCTACCACTTCTCTACTACCCTAACCCGTCTTTAATGCTCTCCTCCACTACATTGCAACCGCAATTCCACCGCAACTTGTATGTCTTTTGTGATACCCCCGAATTCCCGGATGCGGGTTGGCCAGGCCCACGCCCGATTACCCAAGGATATCAAACCAATTAGCAATAATCGAACACAGAATATAATTAAGATAAACATGAGTAAATAAAATTCGCTAGAAAGAAACTAAATAAAAATCCTTTATTGAAAACTTCAGAATAAATTTTATAAATAAGAACTAGTCTGATACATCTAACTATTCCAATTCTAATACAACTCGGGAATCCATCTGGTGGACCCCTAATCAAAACCAATATTGGGAAGCGAACAACTTAAAAAGAAGTCCATTGCTAAACCATGAAGAACCTCCTACATCGTCGGTAGAATGAGTAGTCGTCTCTACTCAGCACGAACAAGCTCTAAGACTTGGAACCGTCCGTTACCTGAAAAATAATGGTGGGTCAGGCCCACGAACAAGTTCTATCCTAACTACAATCCAAACCGAGACCCGATACGCAGATACATCCTAGATGTCCCAACCATATCTATATAGTCCGTAATAGATAAATATATATATATCCACACTATAGGACTCTCACTAAACTATGCTGAGGGTCTCAACCTAAATAGAAGGCAACATGCAATACGCACCTGAGTGGGCATGACTACCTAAGTCTAACAGGGTATACCTCAACCAACATAGTTAGCTACGCATCCTACTGCATATACGCTCCCTGACCGTCGACTATGAGACTCAAGCTCATGTCACAGTACCATAACAATATATATATAATCCATTCACATTCATCCATAAGAAATCCAGTAAGTCGTTCGGCGTATTCAACCGCACCGACTCATATATATAAGGAGGATTTTATTTAACAACCCGTACCCTTATTCCAAAATAGATAGGACTGAGTATTTTGAATCAGTCTGTCCCTAGTATGCCACCATCGCATACTGGTGCATACAATCCACAAAATCCATATAATTGGTTGAACAGGTAAAACTATTCACCAATTAAAATCCATAAGGTAGGAATTAGTGTTTTGAGCTAAACCATACCTAGTATGTCACCGTCCCATACCGGTGCATACAATCCTCCATATCTGTGTAAATTACAATAATTAAATAATATTTTAGCAATTTACAGTCCATAACCATTCCAAATAATTACAGAAGAGTATTTCAGCAATTTAAATCCAAAACTATGTAAATTACAGACTATGAATAATAGTACAACAATTTTAATATCCAAAACCATAATCTAGATTAATTGCGGAATAATTTATATAATAGTTCAGCAATTAAGGTTCAAAACCATTCTCCAGTTAATTGTAGAATAATATATCAAATTTCAACAATTAACATCCAAAACATGATCCAGTTTAAAAACCATAATCCA